AGAGAGAGAGAGAGAGAGAGAGAGAGAGAGAGAGAGAGAGAGAGAGAGAGAGAGAGAGATTACAGGCAAAGGTTACAGCGAGCATAGCGCTCAGGATCTGATTCGATATTTTTGAGGCAGACATTGATTGGACATTCGGAAGGGACTATTTTTGGACTTCGCTATCTCGATCTTTGTCTTCTCCCTTGCCTCCATCTTCGTCCCCCATGTGCGTGTACAAGGAGAGACCTTTCTTCTATGTGTGCGGTCACTCCTCCTCCTCTCACGTGTGTGGTGTATGATGGGATGTCGCGTCAGTCCCAGCCAGGTCGGGTCTTATCTTTGAGTCTTCCACTGCGCTACATTGTGCCATTTTGTATGTATCCGGATGTACATTGCTTGTTGATGCTACGCTGACATTGCATTGTCCATTTCAGTCCTTTTCATCACTGTGTGGATCCTTGGCTCCGCACACATTGCCCAACTGGGCATGCGTCAGTTGGTATTGGAGGCCCGCACGTGAATCAGGACGAAACCTGATTTGACATGTGCATGGGGACAATCGATTGATTGATTGGTTGATTGATTGATTGATTGATTGATTGATTGATTGATTGGTTGGTTGATTGATTGGTTGATCATTGATTGATTGATCATTTCTTGATTGATTGATTGATTAATTGATTGATTGATTGATTGATTGATTGATTGATTGATTAGGTTACACTAATTAGTCCCCCAAAAAACGCGAATTTTTGACCTAACTACCAAAGTCGATTTTTTTTTTCTTTTTTGGATTGTCTTCTTTCGTGACAAATCGCAAATTCCGAAATAGGCTAAATAGCGCAACTTTTGAAATTTCCGATTTTCGTTTTTCTTGCATTTTGGAAATTCGCTGTTGATAAAGCCGAATTTTTTTTTTTTTTTTGGAATATTCCCGTTGATTCGTTTATTAAAAAATTCTGAATTACGCAATTACTAAGTAGCTGAAGTTCGATTTCCCTTACTTCGGAAATTTCACATATATTTTTTTTCAGTTACTTGAAATGACTTCATTATTCTGAAAATTCGAATTTTTTTTTGTGTTAATTCAGTCCTTTTTTTACGTATTCACGCATTCAAGAGGTAGCGGGAAATTTCGATTTTTTTTTTTTTTTTTTTTTTCTCATTATTTCCAAATTCTGAAAGTTTATTTCCGAAAAATCTCTCTTTTGCAGTTAAGATTGGGATGACTTCCCAATTTGAAATTTTGTTGCACATCCTCTTATCTGAATCAATTCCGACATATTCTTCAGAATTACTTGAACCTGCGGAGAATTTTCTTCGCAGTTCTATTATTTATTCATTATTATTATTAATCATTTGCAGTCTGATGCAATCAGACTTGTCTTCAACCTTGCTCAACATGCATGCAAACAGATGACGTTCAAACTTGGCGGACAACGCCCACACAAAGCTCGGAGATAAAACATGGCCAGGAACACAGATCATATTCAAACTTGTCTTGATAGCTATGGCGCAGGGCGCCAAGCAAAGATTCCCACCCGATCAATTGTATCCACCAGCAACTTATTCGCACACACTCACACTCTCGGATCACCCTGGATGTCCCACACACACACACACACACACACTCAAATACACACACTAACTAACCTATATTACGTGGCAGCTATGGCTGCCATCTCCCACCTACGCTAACTCGCGGCTATGGCCGCGTCTTTTTCCTCTTAGCCCTCTTCTAATTCGGGCACTTGCAAACCTCTGTAGCACAAGACGCTCCGACAACGCTTCTGCACGGCTCACAGGCATAATGAATGAATGACTTGACGCTGCCTCTTTATTTATAATTCGGACCGTTGTAGGTTTGCTCTTGGACCCTGGGCCTGGGTGTGCACAGTCCCACATGGTACTTGCTGACTAGACAAAGTGCACCTTGGGACTAGGTACCGCCGACTGCGCCAGGTAGGACTAGGACTGCCCTTTGCTGACTGTGCTAGGACTGCCCTTTGTTGACTCAGACGCGGACTGACTCCTACGACTCACGAAAGGCCAATTTCGGAGCTTCTAAAAGGTCCTAGTCTTGACCTTTCGGAACTGCAACAGCTACGACCTATAGGACACCTATGAATGCTAAGTCTAAAGTCTACGGGTCAAACCTTGGCGATCGCACTATATAAAACAGCCGAACATACGACTTTCGAAGAACATGTTGTGGGCTCAAACATACGGGCCAACGGGTACTGTACACGGGTAATGGGGGGAAGATCTAGGGATCGAGCCCTGGGTACTGCGTCTGTCACCGAAATAGGTGAAAACCGTTTCACTCCCGCCGGCCTAAATTCGAGGTCCTCCGAGAATATTTTAGTGCAAGATAGGACCTTTACCCTGCCTTTCTCTATCATAGACGTGGACTATGTTGGGGGTCGTCTCTAAAAGTTCGGTTCTTGTGAACCACCAGTCGTCCCGGGTTCCTGATAAGCGAACCTAACTTTATACTTCTTTTGTGGACGACCTCTACCTCCGGTCCTAAACACATCCTCTTCCACAATGCGATCTTTATATCATATGTGCCATCCATATCCGGCGGAATCATCGATCGACGCGACCAAAACTGTTGACTGATGACACGAGGTAGTAACTTAGACGCATGGAAGACTGGGTATGTGTGGAGGTGTGGTGGAATCTCTACTGTGTAGGAAGGTCCGTCCTCTCCACCCTTTACTTCTAGGAGAGGCCGCAATCCCCTATACGCAGGTAACAACTTATGTGAGATGTTCTCCTTAGACTTGATGGTTGGCGATGCTTGTTAGCTAGCTCTATCGTTCTATGTTTTCCTTAGGTTGTCGGTCACTCTTGCAATTTCTTTATGATGTTATAAGGCAAACTCCTAGTTCCGGGTGGCAGTCTCTGTATTTGATCACGGTTCAGTCCTTCAAATGACCTACGTGGTCTAAAGGACTTGTGCAACTCGTTAGGAGTCCGACAAGTAGCTAGATGAACACTGTTATTGTAGGCACTAGCTACTTTAGGGAGCATCTCATCCCAATTAATCTGATCCGGTCTAATATACATCCTCAGTATCTGTTACAGGATCTTATTCATTTGTTCAGTCTGACCGTTAGTCTCTGGGTGACGGCCCGATGACACCAACAACTTGGAGCCATAGACTCGCATAAGCTCCTGCCAGTGCTGACTAGTAAACCGTGTATCTCTATCACTAACTATGGATAGCGGAATACCATGTTCGTTTACCTAGGAATCGAAAAACTTCTCTATAACTAACTTTGTACGTGCCTCAGAAGGCAAAGGGATGAAAAATGCATACTTGCTAAAGCAATTTACTATGATCATGACTTGGTTCTTTCCATGCCTACTCCTGACCCCAACATCCATAAAATCGATGGACACAGATTCTCCAGATCCTAAAGGGATAGGCAAGGGTACAAGAAGACCCAATGGGGCTCGCATCGTAGTTTTGTTGCGTTGGCATACTTTGCAACTACGAACATACTCTACACAGTCAGTTTTCATGCCAGGCCACGTATAGGCACGTGTCAGGTTGGCTAATGTCTTTTGCCAGCCGAAGTGCCCTTCTGTATCATAACATTCCCATAAGATCAGACTCCGGATCTCTTCACTATTGGGAATGCATAGCCGATCTACGACGTTAGTCTTCGCAAACAGTAACCCGTTTGTGGTGCGATAGTCGGGTTCACTCTCTGGGGCCTCCCTTACTCTCTTCAGAAGGTCACTATAGATAGGGTCTTGAGCATCGCATCTCTAACTTTTTGCTGTAAGTCAGTCCCTATGTCTAGATAGTGAACTATAGCTCCAAAGTAGTTGGTTCTTCTACTCAGAGCATTTGCAACCACATTGTATTTCCCTTTAACAGGTTTGAGCTCAAAGGCAAACTGATCTATTTCTGCAGCCCACCTAGTAAGCTTAGGTGTCATCTTGGTCTGCGTTTTCAGCCACCTGAGTGTCTCATGGTCTGAATAAACTTTGAAGTGTCTCCCAAGCAAGTAATGTCTCCAATGATCTAACAGTTGCCTGAGAGCGTAGAGTTTTCTCTCATATGTTGAGGCTGCTACCTTCTTCGAAGGCAACCTAGCAGACATGAACTCTGTGGGTCTATACCCATTGCCATCATATTGTTGTAAAACAACACCAATGTCGTATTGACTCACATATGTAGTAACGACAAAAGGTAAGGATGGATCAACTACCTTGAGGATTGGGCACTCTACCAAGGCCCGTTTTAACTTCTTCAAGGACGATGTGCAGTCTTGGTCCCACTTCCAGATTGCTTCTTTTTTTAGCAGTCTGCAAAGGGGAGCAGCAATAGCAGAGAAGTTTCTGACGAACTTTCTGTAGTATTTGGCCAATCCTAGGAACGATCTCAACTCTGTGATTGTACGAGGAGTTGGCTAGTCTCTAATCGCTGCGATCTTGTTGTCCTCATGTTTTATACCATCTCCATCTAAAACGTGGCCCAAGTACAAGATTTCGGTCTTGGCCCACTCACACTTCTTCGCGTTGATCTTGAAGATGGCCTCGCGCAATTTCTCCAAGATCTCCCTCAAATGAGCCTTATGCTCCTGAAGGGTCTTACTAAAGACTAAGATATTGTCTAAGTAAACTACTACAAATATGTCTAACCACGACCTAAACAGATCGTTCGTACACCACTAGAAAGTGGTTGGTGCATTGGTTAGTTCAAAGGGCATCACTATAAACTCGTCATGCCCATACCTAGTCCCGAACGTTGTTTTGTACTGATCATCAGGGTAAACCTCAATCTGATGGTACCCCGACTTTAAATCTATCTTTGTAAAGTACTTGCAGCCCTGCACTCAGTCGACCAAATCGTCTATACAGTGTGTCTGCATTTTAGATTGTAACAACATTTAGACCCCTGTAGTCAATGCACATTCTCAACTCTCCCTCTTTCTTGGGGACAAAGAGAATAGGTGCTCCAAATGGAGACAAACTGAGCCTAATCCAACCTTTTTTGAGGAGCTCATCTAACTGCTTACGTAGCTCCTCTAACTCTTTAGGAAACATCCTATAGACTGCTCCTTCAGGAGTTTTACTGCCAGACTCTATCTCCATGCGATGCTGGATGGGATGTCGAACTACTCCTGAAGGAGCTTCTGATAAGTCTGGGTACTCATCCATCAACTTGGCAATAATAGGGTTGGTTGGTTCCTCGTTCTTAGGCTCAATAACCGGCCTAAAATAGGCTACAAAGACCTGGTCCTCTAGTTGCTCTGTCTTAACTAATCGCTCAAACGCAGGAGCACTGAGACAGCAATGTGCCAGGGAATTGTCTACTCCTGACACATGAAACTGGCGGGCTTTCTTGACACCACCTGAAGGATTAGGAAACCTACACTTGTGCTCTCGCAAATGCAGTGTGGCTCCTGCTGCCTCTCCTCGATCCATTCCTAAAACCATGTCAAATGGGAGATCATCTTCAACGAGGAGAGTCAGAGAATAGTGTGGCTCCTGCTGCCTCTCCTCAATCCATTCCTAAAACCATGTCAAATGGGAGATCATCTTCAACGAGGAGAGTCAGAGAATGGAGAACTCTCTCTACCTTCCCATCCGCCTCTAGGCGAAAATACGCCTAGACTCCCTCGACGTAATCCTCGATTCTGCATTGCGCGATTGTCATCGAGGATGTTGACTACAGACTCTTCTAGCTTTTGGACTTTCAAGCTAAGCTTTAACTTCTTCAACGCATTACGTCCAATATAGCTACACGTTGCCTCACTGTCTATAAGAGCCCCTACTCTTCCTCTAAAAATCTCTACATTTGCTATCAACAGTTGTCCTTTACCTTCTTTCTTCATCTTGGCTCCGGCTTGCATTCTCTCCTTCAAGTTTTCCGCCAGTCCTGTGAGGAAAGTGCCTAGAGACGCTCTAACACAAGCAGTCTCTGGACAACTAACTAGACGCTGGCCAGCAACCTCTGTCGTAGACACACGTGGAGTGGGAGTTTCTACTTGGCGTGCGAACTCATCTCCACGAGGTCTAGAGGTAAGGGTAATTGCTACCCCTACCGATGGTTGCCTTTTGCTGCCTTAGCAACAGCTCGTCGGGCACCCCTATACTTTGGGCAAAATTTGATGATATGCTTAGGGTCACCGCAGAAGACGGATTGAAACCCATCTATCCTTTTCTGCCAGTCTGTCTGCTCAATGCCCAATGTTTCCCAGAGCCGGCCTTCAGGACTACCAGGATGCCAACCACCCCCTCTGGGAGGTGATCGATTTGAACAAGGACGGTTTGACGGGGGACCTTGACCCCTACCTCCCGCTTGGCGGTTTCCCCTGTCGCCAACCCCCTGGCTGCCCTGTCCTCAACCACCAGAGGCCTGGCCACTTTGTCTTGGCTCCGGCTGGCATCCTCTCCTTCATTTTTTCCGCCAGACCTGTGAGGAAAGCGCCTAGAGAGACTCTAACACAAGCAGTCTCTGGACAACTAACTAGATGCTGGCCAGCAACCTCTGCCGTAGACACACGTGGAGTGGGAGTTTCTACTTGGCGTGCGAACTCATCTCCACAAGGTCTAGAGGTAAGGGCAGTTGCTACCCCTACCGACGGTTGCCTTTTGCTGCCTTAGCAACAACTCGCCGGGCACCCCTATATTTTGGGCAAAATTTGATGATATGCCCAGGGTCACCGCAAAAGACGGATTGAAACCCATCTATCCTTTTCTGCCAGTCTGTTTGCTCAATGCCCAACGTTTCCCAGGGACGGCCCTCAGGACGACCAGGATGCCAACCACCTCCACTGGGAGGTGATCGATTTGAATGAGGACGGTTTGACGGGGGACCTTGACCCCTACCTCCCGCTTGGCGGTTTCCCCTGTTGCCAACCCCCTGGCCGCCCTATCCTCGACCACCAGAGGCCTGGCCACTTCGGCCTTGACCGCTTCCACCTCCTTGCCACCTCCCTCCGACCACGACAGTAGCATAGGTACTCCCCTCACCTACACTGTTGCCTGACTCGTCAAGGCCCCACTCTATCTCGCTGTGTTCCAGACCACCCTCTTATAGAGTAAGGATAAGACTATCCTTGACCTTAACTTGGCTCGTGATGGTCTGGCCCTTCCACTTTCTGCCCTTGGCAAGGTCCTTGTGCCAGAAAGTGGTTACTGACGCGGACTGGGCCTCAAAAGCAACAACCTCGCGACTTAACGTATCATAGGTCATGTAAGGCTGTTGCTTTGTAGTGAAGAAGTGCCTGTGCAAATTCTCAAGCATGGCACGGTAGAACAATTGGAGAAGTTGGGTCTCAATGACCCCATGTCTAGGGACAGCGACAAGCTCATCCATGGCAACTTTGAGTGCTCGTGCACTCCTCCACTGTCGCGTGTGGATCGTTTGCAATTTGTCAAACGCCCTAATGCCCCTAGTGACATTTGCAAAATGTTCGCGGAGAGTGGACATAAATTCACTTCAAGTTAGTGATGGAAGAGTATGTGACCTTGTCATTGTCACATTTGGCAGCATGCGCAAGCGACCTAGCAAAGTTGCCCGCTTCTTCCTTTAGTGCCTGAAAGGCCACGAAAACATGGTTCTCTGGCGCGATATCCTATACATGCAAATAGGACTTGATATTGGCTTCCTGATTATCAAAGTCCTCGCTTCTTCCCACCATAGGGTTCAGGGAATCTGACCTTAACGTGCTCACGATGTGGTCGTGCCTCCTCTTCCTTGGGAGCCGCTATATTGGCGCCTTCTCTGGCACCCATGCAAAATTTCTTTGTCTTCTACAACGACACACATTTTGCTTGCGACATGCAGCATCATATCTCATGCAAAATCTTGAAGCCTACCCGCATGGACTAAGAGGCGATATCATGGCCCCTAAGGTAGCGCAACTGCTCTTGCTGGGCTCTCAGCGTCACATCCATGTTCTGGGATAGGAGTTCTATTTTTCTATCGAGATCCGCCTGTACTCCCAGTTGGCCCTGTTGCTCTTCAACAACCTTCAACTCTCTCTCCATCTTCTGCCGCCTCCAACCGCCTCATTCTCTCCCTCGCAAGGCGCAACTTCCATTCCAACCTCTTTTCATCTTCCTTGGCCTGTCGGCGCAAGGGATCCTCCTCCCTTCCCAACTCTTGTTCCATTGCTTCTCTTTCTGCCTGAGGGATAAGCAACATAGCTTCTTCATCCTTCCTCGAGGCTAGATTAGCCACCCACTTAGTCACCATCTTCTCCACCTTTGCCTCTCTCTCCCAGGCAGTACTAGATTCCCCTCGCTCTTCAATTCTTGCTGTTCTCTGCAGAGGAACCTCTACCTCTTCTTCTTCTTCTTCTTCTACGGCTGCTGCTACTGCTACTGCCTCTTTCTCTTTCTGCAACCGTTTCAACTCTTCTTCTAACTCTTTCTCTTTCTTGGCCTTCTCTGCCAGTGAGGCCACCTTCTTGGCCTTCTTCTCCAACTCTTTCTTCTCCTTCCTCGCCTTCTACTCTGCCAGAATTCTCGCAGCTTCCTCCTCCTGCTCCTTCGTGTAAGGAGAGGTCCCAGTACCACCACTCGTTGTAACTGTACAGTTAAGGGTCCGCCAAAATCCTAACGCGAAGAGAAATTGGCATAGGGTTCCCCACGAGCAAGGAGTACATAGGATAGTCATCCATGGTGGAAGGTGCACAACCTAGTGAACGTCCACTCCTCACCACTTCGACTTATCCACCAATTGACTGACTGACTGACTCTCTAAGGACCACAGAGTCTTCACCTTTGTTCCAGCCAGGTTACCACAGCCGACGGAAGCTTTCGACACCACTATCACCGAAACTTTCCACGATCCAAGTGCTCCTTGCACCCGCTATCAATCCCACTTGGCTTTCACTCTGGATCAAATCCCTATCAACTATGGTCACTAACCTAACTTACTCTAAGACTGTCACTACAAGACTCTACTGCTGATCAGGAGGCATTTAAGGAGATCCCCCATAACTCCTCAAGAATTCTTTAACGTCGCAGTCAGGACGAAGTGATCAGCAGAGTCCTCTCAATACTTAGACAGCTGGATGTGCAGCCTGCAGCTCGGAGTTCAGGCCTACCGTGCCACATTGAGCAGCCCGTCGGTCTGTAGCGGTGCTTGGGGGTCTTATCCCCGGGATGTGTCAGTCGTCAGACGTGGCTTTTACCCCTACTAAGTCCCGTGCAGGTTTGGTTACCGCAGCTCTATCGACCACATGCACAAAGTCCTATCACCTAGACAAAAGTGACTCAATGCAGAAAGAAGAGACAGGCTGACGCTCAACAAGTACCAAGGTTATGTGCACATCCACAGGGTAAGGGGTAGGCCAAGGCTTGGAGAGATTATACCATACTCCAGCTTGGTCAAAGTCTTGGTCAACGCCCCCGTCAAAGATCTTGGTCAACGCTGGTCAACGCCGGTCAACGCTGGTCAACGCTGGTCAACGCTGGTCAATGCTGGTCAATGCTGGTCAACGCCGGTCAACTTTGTCTCGGTCAACCTTCGACCTCCTGGCTATGGCCGCCGACCCTTCTCCTTCGTCAACCTTCTTCTTTCCCCTCTCGTCTTCTTCCTCACCCAACCTTGGCTATGGCTTCTTCTTTCTCCCTCGTCTCTCGTTCCTCCCACTTTCTTTCTCTCTCGTTCTTCTTCACTTCTGCCTTCGTCCTCTTTACTTCCGAGCTCAACGGCTATGGCCGCCACTTCTTCTTCCTCCTTGGCGCATCCAATCTTCTCTCTCTCTCTCTCTCTCTCTCTCTCTCTCTCTCTCTCTCTCTCTCTCTCTCTCTCTCTCTCNTCTCTCTCTCTCTCTCTCTCTCTCTCTCTCTCTCTCTCTCTCTCTCTCTCTCTCTCTCTCTCTCTCTCTCTCTCTCTCTCTCTCCCTCCCCTTCGTTGTCGTCGGTTCCCCTTCTCTCCTTCACTTCAATAGCGCGCCGGGCTTCGCCAACGTGGCAGCCTCTTCTTCACGATGGCGGTCGCCTCCCTCAGCCCAGCGCTCTTCCTTGATGCGGCGGTCCACCTCATCACGCAGCGAGGAGCACCGCGAGTGCACACAAGCAACAAGGCGCGCGCTTAGCGACGGGCATGCGATCAAGGTGCGCGCTTAGCGACGGGCGTGCGATCAACAAGGCGCGCGCTTAGCGACGTGCGTGCGAACAATAGCGCGCGCGAAATACAGCGATCGTGAGCAAGGCGGCGGTATGTGCTCAGCGGGCACGAGCAAGCAGCGGAGCGAGCGTGCGGAATGGCAACTGGCGCGCGCTGGTAACAACGGGCGCATGGCAAACAACGGGGCACCGGCGATAACAGGCAGTGCACAGCAAACAGCGGCATCGAACAAGGCGCAGCCGGCACACACACAAGCAGCGGGGCGCGCACGTTCGATGAGGGAAGCAGCAGCGCGCGCGAGCACTGACGTGGCGCGTAGGCACCTCCTCCTACTTCCGATGTCGGCGACGATGGTGACCTGCGCCCGACGATGATGATGACGACGGCGATGGCGGACAGCGGTGGAACAGCGGGTACCAGCTCCGATGCCAATGCACTCAGACTTGTCTTCGACCTCGCTCAGCATGCATGGAAAGAGATGACGTTTAAACTTGGCGTACAGCGCCCACACAAAGCTCAGAGATAATACGTGGCCAGGAACACAGATCAGATTCAAACTTGTCTTGATAGCTATGACACACGGCGCCAGACAAAGGTTCCCAACCGATGAACTGTATCCACCAGCAACTTATTCGCACTCACACTCACACTCTCGGATCACCCTGGATGTCCCGCACACACACACACACACTCGAATACTCACACTATCCTATCCTACGTGGCAGCTATGGCTGCCAGCTCCCACCTATGCTTCGCGGCTATGGCCGCGTCTTCTTCCTCTTAGCCCTCTTCTTCTTCGGGCACCTGCAGACCTCCGTAGCACAAGACGCTCTGACAGCGCTTCTGCACGGCTTACAGGCAGAATGAATGAATTTCTTGACGCTCCCTCTTTACTTATACTTCGGACCGTCGTAGGTCTGCCCTTGGACCCTGGGCCCGGGTGTGCACAGTCCCACATGGTACTTGCTGACTAGACAAAGTGCACCTTGGGACTGGGTACCGCTGACTGGGCCAGCTAGGACAAGGGCTGCCCCTTGCTGACTGTGCTAGGATTGCCCTCTGCTGACTCAGACGCGAACTGACTCCCTTTTTTTTTTTTTATTTGGACCATTTCTCGATTTATCCGTGTCATCCTTGCGCAGGGGCCATGCTAATCTTCTCTGTATCGTTCCAATTTTAACGGATGTCCCGAAGGACACGCGAACTGACTCCTACGACTCACGAAAGGCCAGTTTTGGAGCTTCTAGAAGGTCCTACTCTCTTGACCTTTCAGAACTGTAGCAGCTACAACCTATAGGACACCAATGACCGCTAAGTCTAAAGTCTACCGGTCAAACCCTGGTGACCGCACTATATACAACAGCCGAACAGACGACTTTAGAAGAACAGGTCGCAGGCTCAAACATCCGGGTCAACGGGTACTGTACACGGGTCATGGGGGGAAGATCTAGGGATCGAGCCCTGGGTACTGCATCTGTCACCGAAATAGCAGAAAACCGTTTCACTGAAATTCAATTTTTAATTATTTATTTCGGATTGCAAGGGGGATTGGGAGAGCTACTGAACTTGCAATTTCGAGTATTTTTATATTATTATTTTCTCGAAAATGTTTTTGCAAAGTTCAAACTATTCTTTTGATTAGTGCTCCTTATCTGGGCGATCCCACCTACCCCATCTATGGTGTTGCACCCTCTTTTCTTCCCTTCTCCATCTGTCTACGGGTACTCCCTACTGTGGCATTGGTAAGTTGCCATGTCAGCATGCCACGTCAGCATGCCACATCAGTAGTGACACATCAGCGACACGTCAGCTGACAGCCGTGCCATGTCAGCAGCAGAGGTGCCACGTCAGCAGCCCCTCGGCCTGGTCTATGCTCACACGTTCTTAGACAGCCAAAGCCAGGGGAATCGGCCGAGGTCTATCAGGCCCAGATGCTGACCTTGATAACCGAAGCTAAGCAACGGGCAGATGCGGTGGCAGCTGCAGAGAAGAAAAAGGCGGAAGAGGCAGAGAAATTACGTCTGCTGGCGGAACAACAATGTCAGCACGAAGAAGTAGCAGTGAGGGCTGCCGACGAGGAATGCAACATTTGGCGCGAGAAGGTATTCGGGGAGGAGAGAGCTATACTCATTATGGCTGCGGAATGGCGGGCAGAGGCAGAGAACGGTGAACTCAGCAACAGTGGACTCAAGATTTCGCTGTTGCTCTCCCACCTTAGGGACCTCCCGGCGACGTGCATTGCACAACAGGAGGATATCCACTGCCTCGACGACGCGGTCAAGGACCACAAGGCGTCGCTTGCTCAAGTCAACAGCCGCCTATAGCTGCTGGAGCAACGACCCGTCGCCGCCACCGGCGCCAGCTCCTCCAACCATGCTGATCGCCTCCACACATTGGAGATCGACGTCGGAACGCTCAAGGACGGTGCACAGCTACAGCAAGCAGCAACTCAACAACTTAAGCAGCAGATCTGCGCAGCAGCCGCTGGCCCTAGCACGTCACCGCGCGAGAGCATTCTGAAGTTCGATGGCCAACTGATCTTCTGTGCCGCCACGAAGACGGGACTCAATTCCGTGGTTTCGCTAGTTTGAGCTCAAGCTGGAGATCCACCAAACCGGCAACGCCAAACGACACGCGTACTTGTACTCCCAATCGGAAGGCGCGTGCCAAGCTTGGTTGGACAATATGTTGTCCGCGCACTGGGTCACGGTCTCCAATTTGACACACCAAGATCAGCTGGGCTGATCTGAAGGCGGCGTGGCACAAGCGGTTCCAAGTGGAGCAGCCCGATCTTCAAGCAATGGACAAAATGCAGAAGTTCTACGTGAACACGTTGCCAAGAGGAGATTGGATAGCCGAGTACCAACGTTTGGCATCCACGCTGGAGTTGCCAATGGTATTCAAAGGCATTAAGCACTACTTCATCACGAAGTCGTGTCCGGCATTGTCAAATGCTTTGACACACGTCGCGGAGACTCTCACCACGAGTACGGAGCTCTTTGACAAGGCCGCGCAGATCATCATCACGAACACCGAGGCAAAGAATCTTGGTCGTTCGCCTTCGACAGGCCCGAGCAGAGAACAGCATTGGCCGAAAGTGGCCATGGTCGCAGCGGCAACGCCAACCGACCCTTCAAGCGAGGTTGCATCTGCCAATGAGGGAGACAGACTCGCAGCCGCCTGGGATCGTGGCCGCCCCGGCAAAGGCCAAGGACGCGGCAGATCGAAGACCAACACCTCTTCAAACCCTGGGCCTGGCCCAGCGGCTCAAGCTCCTTGGACCCACTACGGTCTCTCGGAAAGCGTATACAAAAGACGCACGAGATTCCGATACTGTTTGTGGTGTAACAACGACCTCCACGAGACGGCCGTATGTTTTTTGAAAGCCAACGGGAAAACCCAGTCGGGAAATTGAGCACCGCCGACAGTGATGCGACGACACTCTCGATGCCTTACCAGTTGTTGCGCGGGCAACCGCCCTTAGCTCCGAGGCACATGTGGAAGTCGATAGTCCTCCCATCTTATATTCTTATGAGGACTATGCTGCCCAGCCCGTACCTTCGCTGGGCACTCATGCTCAAGGACAAGATGTGTGTGCGGGATCTTCTCCGTCCGGAAACGGCGACTTATCGTCTTCAAGTGGTTCTTCACGGGATTCGGCGTGCGATTTCAACAATAGAGGTAGTGGACCCGCTCACGTCCAAGGATTTCGCATGGCTTCCTCTCCCGACCATGGGCCACTTGCAGGGCCTGCAATGCGCAACACTATGCGCTCATCTTCACACCTACTTATCCTTCTATGCACCACCAACTTCGCCGACGGATGACGAAGCTGCGGTGGGGAACATCCTTGCGTATGTTACCAAGGTGGCCCGCGAGTTTCGCACGCAACAGTACGATGACCACAACGCACCGCTCCTCTACGTCCGCATCCAAGTTGGGCAAGCGTCCTGCAGCGCTTTGCTGGATAGCGGCGCGACTCGGAATTTCATGAGCCAGGCCTTTACTCAAAGGGTTGGCCTTGGCCCACAAGTTCGAAGGAAGGAAAATCTTACAGCGATCAAGTTGGCGGACGAACGGACGCAGCAACTTATTGACCGCTACATCGAGGCCGTACCGGTATATTTCGCATCTCATGCATGCGAACCGGTGACGTTCGATGTCTTGGACACGGACTTCGATATCATTTTGGGGATGCCTTGGCTTGCAAGTGCGGATCACACGGTCAACTTTCATCGGCGGACTCTTACCGTCCACGACGCCTTTGGCGCCGAGGTGCCGTGTACCATTCCTCTTCCGCACCCTTTGATTCGGTGCCAAGTTGTGACGGCCAAGTCGTTCCGGGCCACTTGTGCTTACGAGCAGCCTGACGAGATTGACCTATGTTTTCTACGAACCGTCGTGGTAGCCGACTCTTCACCCACGGACTTGTTTTCGGACCCCCATATGGTGCGGTTGCTTGACAAGTTCGCCAACATCTCCGAGTAACCTACCGGTGTGGTGCCGGATCGGCCGATCTCTCGCGAGATCATTCTTGAGGCCGGTGTTGTGCCGTTGAAAGGTTGCATCTATGGCATGAGCAAGGAGGAGCTCGCAGTCCTCCGCGCGCAACTCGATGATTTGTTGGACAAGGGCTAGATCCGCCCTAGCAGCTCGCCATACGGTGCGCGGGTTCTCTTCGTACGGAAGAAAAACAAGGATCTACGATTGTGCATCGACTACCGCAAGCTCAACGCGCAAACCGTCAAGAATGCGGGGCCTCTTCCTCGTATCGACGATCTTCTTGAGCGTTTGGGCGTCGCAAAGTACTTTTCCAAGTTGGACTTGAAGTCGGGCTATCTTCAGATTTCGATACGCCTGAATGATGGCTATAAATCGACGTTCAAGACGCGGTCCGAGCATTTTGAGTGGGTAGTCATGCCTTTTGGCCTCACCAATGCCCCAACGACCTTTCAAGCGGCAATGACCAACGAGTTCCGTGCGATGTTGGACCGGTTAGTGTTGGTCTACTTGGACGACATTCTCGTCTATAGTCGGACCTTGGAGGATCATCTTGAGCACCTTCGACGAGTGTTGGAGACGCTCCGCCGCGCCAAGCACAAAGCCAATCGTGACAAGTGCCAATTTGTCTGGCAAGAGTTGGAATATTTGGGCCATTTTGTCACACCGGAGGGCATCAGTCCATTATCGGACAAGATTCAAGTTGTCCAAGAGTGTTCAGAGTCGCGGAACGTTACGGATGTCGGATCATTTCGTGGCCTTGTCAGCTACTACCAGCGTTTTATCAAAGGCTATTCGAAGATCGCGGCCAGCTTGACCAAGCTTCAATGCGAGGATCGGCCGTTCGACTTCGATGAGGATGCGCGGGGTTCATTTTTTGCCCTCAAAGCCGCTTTGCTATCCGCGGAGGTCTTGCGCATCTACGACCCGCTATTGCCAACACGCGTCACTACCAATGCGTCTGACTATGGCATTGGGGCCGTCCTCGGGCAACACGATGGCGTGGATTGGCACCCGGTCGAATATTTCAGCAAGAAAATGCCCGCCGTGCACTCAATCGACGATGCAGAGAAGAAGGAGATATTAGCCTTCGTCCACACGCTCAAGCGGTGGCAGCATTTCCTACTTGGTCGAAGTCAATTCCGATGGGTAACGGATAACAATCCATTGGTCTTTTACAAGACCCAAGACACGGTCAACAACACCATCGCCCGTTGGATGGCTTCCATTGACCACTTTGACTTCTTTCCCGACCACATTATAGGAAAGTCAAACCGTTTTGTGGATGCTCTTTCACGGCGTCCGGATCATTGCACCGCAGTCTACTCGACCTTCGAGATCGATGACGACTTGCGGGACAGCTTCATCCGCGGCTACCAAGCCGACCCCGAGTTTCGCGACAAGTACGCGAATTGTTCCTCTCCTAATCCGCAGCGCCATCACACTATCGGATCCAAGAGGGATATTTGCTCATCCACTCGCGGGGGAACGATTGTCTTTGCGTGCCAAGTGATTCCCAGTTGCGTATGCGGCTTCTTGTCGAGATTCATGACGCTCCCGCCACCAGACATTTTGGAGTCAATCGAACGATTCACCGACTTCGTGAGTGCTTTTCGTCCCGATCTTCTCGGCGTCGTCACACGCTATTGCGAGTCATGCGAGGTTTGCCGACGTTGCAAATCCCGCAATCATCGTCCGTACGGCGAGTTGCGACCATTACTGGTCTCCTTGCGCCGAAGGGAAGCAATTGCCATAGGTATCACTGGGCCGTTTCCCAAGCACAAGACCTGTGTGGATGGGACTCTCACGGTGGTCGACCGACTCACCAAGTTCGCCATGTTTTTGTCTTGCCGCTATCATGCAAGGCACTGGAGTTAGCCGAGGTTCTTTACGCCAGTTGGATTCGAACCAAGGGTTGCCCCAAGGAAATCGTTTGCAACCGCGACACTCGGTTCATGTCCGATTTTTGGTTGGCGCTCATCAAACGATGGGGCTCATCTCTCAAGCCGAGTTCGGCTCACCACCCCCAAACCGATGGCCAAACGGAGAGGGCGCATCAGACTGCACAAGTTCTCCTTCACACTCGCATCCGTCCCGACCAAAAGGATTGGGTTGAGCGGCTGCCGGATGTCGAGCTGGCATACAACTCGTCCATTCATCCGGCTATCGGGATGTTGCCCTTTGAGTTCGAGCATGGCTCGCCGGTCACTTCTCCGTTGGACACGATCATCCCACAGGTGGCCGAGAGCGACGACCATCTTCTTTTCGTGCGTCAGATGCAAGAGCTACTTATCAAGGCCCACGACCAGATGTCAAAGACACAACAACGCATGAGCCAGCATCCCAATCGTCAGTGCCCTCCTTGTCCATTCCGCGTCGATGACCTCGTATGGGTCTCCGCCGTGGAGGTCAGCCTCGAACAAGATATCTCTCGCAAGCTCCTCCCGAAATGGATGGGGCCCTGGCCAATCGCGGCACCCGTTGGGGATGCACCCGAAGGACCTTCCTTTGTCGTTAACGTGCCCGCCCACTTGCCCGTCCACCCGGTTTTCCATTGTTCCAAGTTGGCTCTATTCACTCCAGTGGAACATGACGACTTTCCCGAGCGACGATCGCAAGGCCCAACCTCTATGGACGGTTTTCAAGAGGTTGGCAACATCATCTCCCAGCGACGCTACGGCAAACAGGCCGACCGAGTACTTAGTACACTTTTCGTACTGCAGCCATAAATCTGACCGTTGGTTGACCCGTGCGGAACTTCAGACGACAGCCCCCGACGTTCTCACACACTATGAACGCAAGTTGCAGGCAAGTCGGCACCTTCTGCTCCACGTCGTACTCGCGTCCAGGTCCCACCTTCAGATTCTCAGCTTCGCCCTCGACCCGGCTTGACTTCATAAGGAGGGGGGGTTGTTACGTGCTGCCCCTGCACACGGGCCCCATTCGAGGGGCCCGACGGTTGCTGAGGGCCCCCCAAGCCGCGTGCCCATCCGACACGCGCCCTGGAGGCCCATGGCGGCCTTTAGGCCCCAGGTACGGTTTGAGGCAGCACTTATTTATTTATTTGCTGTCCTATTTTTGTCTGTTCAGACGTCGTTTCGGACTTGCAGTCCCCAAGGCGAGGCCTTGGGTTGGATACACCAGCAGGCAAGGCCGATCGGGGCCAGGTGCACTTTGGCGCCCTGCTGCATCAGCAGCACAGCCTGAACACCAGGTAGGGGCCCCAACCGTGCGGGCCGTTTCAGGCCACGCTGCAGCACACCTAGTAGGGCCCAACACTGTATATAGCTGGGCCACGGCCTGGGCAGACACACAGTTCGAGTGGCTCACTTCTTGAGCGACACGCTGCTGGATTAGCGCTGCGTCTGGAGGTTAGAGGTAGAGGCATAGGAGGCAGAGGGGCGGAGGCCATACCTGCAGCGGGGCTCACCTAGCGTCATAGCTGGGGCTCCACGGCGTGCCGACCTGCACATGACAGCGACACGACAGCGGTCAGTCCACGGTGGCGGCACCTGCGGGTGAGACAGCGAGGAGGACAACATCTTCTTCTTCTTCTTTGTATAGTCTCCCTCTCATCTCCCTCCTTCCTCCTTCTTCCTCCTTTCATTTTCTTCTTCTTCTTCTTCAGATATATATATATATATATATATATATAGAGAGAGAGAGAGAGAGAGAGAGAGAGAGAGAGAGAGAGAGAGAGAGAGAGAGAGAGAGAGATTACAGGCAAAGGTTACAGCGGGCATAGCGCCCAGGATCTGATGTGACATTTTTCAGGTGGACATTGATTGGACATTCGGCAAGGGACTACTTTTGGACTTCGCTATCGCGATGTTGGTCTTCTCCCTCGCCTCCATCTTCGTCTCGACTCTCTCCCCATCTCTCATCCGTGGTATCTCCCCCATGCGCGTGTACAAGGAGGGACCTTTCGTCTATGTGTGCAGTCCCTCCTCCTCGTCTCACGTGTGTGGTGTATGCTGGGATGTCGTGTCAGTCCCAGCCAGGTCAGGTCTTATCTTTGAGTCTTCCACTGCGCTGCATTGTGCCATTTTGTATGTATCGGGATGTACATTGCTTGTTGATGCTACGCTGACATTGCATTGTCCATTTCAGTCCTTTTCATCACTTTGCGGATCCTTGGCTCCACACACATTGCCCAACTGGGCATGTGTCATTGCCACACTGTCTTCGACTCACATTGGGGAATCGACGAGGAGGGAAATCAGGGCTTTGAGATTGGTTATGAGAGAGAGAGAGGAAACTTACCTGTGATGATGTTGTCGACATTGCGCGCTGCTGTGACGTCTTCACGAGAGATGTGTGCCTACGTGGCACTATGTTGTGATCACATCTTGTCAGGCTTGTCTGTGGGATACTGTTTGCTGACGTGGACGAGAGGAGATGCCCGAAGTAGGAGGGGGTTGTGAGGGAGATCTATCTTCGATGGTATTGGTGGATACTTTCTCTTCCACCCTCTAAGTCTTATCTCCCTCCACTCAGCTTCGTCCTATGGTTACGAGACATTGTACTTCAGATCACATTTCATGATTATTGGGAACATTGATCAGCGCTGAGACATCTTGTATTTCAACATTTGACGAGTTTCTCTCCTGACTGGGTTCATTACAAACATCATTCAAACGAAGTATTGACAATCTTGCTCGAGGAGAAACTTCACTTCGATTGGAGAAACCCGAGTTCGGAAAAGACGCTGTCATCTATCTCGGGCATCGTTTTTTCGCTGCAGGCATTCAGTCGGAAGCAGAACAAGTGGTGGCCAGCATTGTGTGACCTCAACCTCTGAATGTGCAGGACCTGCAATCAATTCCGGGGTTGGCCACATTCTATCACAAGTGTGTCTCCAACTTTTCAACTATTGCACACCCACTGAGTATAATGACAAGCAATAATATCTCTTTTTTTTGGATTCACGCAAGACAACGTTTGAGAATGCAAAAACTGCCTTATCTAATTGTCCTATACTTCGCATTGGTGTTACCGTAGATGCAAGTCAGTATGGCATTGGCACAGCCCTGCAATAAGATGATTGGAATGGTTTGTGTCCTGTAGAGTACCTGAGTAAACGAACGCTCCGCAAGCGATTATCTGCTTCTATGTACTAGCACAAGCTCTACATGTCATGGGAACCGATACTATACTGGACACAATACCTTCTTTACCACCAGTTCAAAGTGTTCTTTGATCAACAGACTTCTGCAGTGGATCAAGACTTAAACTATCAGCCACACTATCCAAATGGTGTTAAGACATTGATGTGTCTGACTTTGGTCTGAAACACAAGAAGGGTTGGTATAACTTCGTGCCTGATGCCCTTTCCCATCACCCCGATTGGATCATATGTCATGGTTGGATCTTTGGTCTCCGCAAATCCTTTCGCAAACCTATCACAGAAGAAATGGGAACCGATACTATACTGGACACAATGCCTTCTTTACCACCAGTTCAAAGTGTTCTTTGATCAACAGACTTCTGCAGTGGATCAAGACTTAAACTATCAGCCACACTATCCAAATGGTGTTAAGACATTGATGTGTCTGACTTTGGTCTGAAACACAAGAAGGGTTGGTATAACTTCGTGCCTGATGCCCTTTCCCATCACCCCGATTGGATCATATGTCATGGTTGGATCTTTGGTCTCCGCAGATCCTTTCGCAAACCTATCGCAGAAGAAACTACGTAAGGATCCAACTTTTGGCCATATCTTGACACAGTCACTGGCTCATCCAAGCTGCCTGCCTGCTTTTTGTATGCATGAAGGTTTATTGTTTTGAGCACATGATGAGTATAGTCGTCTTTGCGTGCCTAATTTTCAGCCCATTGGTTCCAGATGGTGTCAAGACATCAATGTGTTCAACTTTGAGCTGAAACACAGTAACGGTTGTTATAACTCGTTGGATTTGTTAGTCCTCGCAAGTGCTTTTGCAAACTTATTGCAAAGAAACTGCTTAAGGATGCTACTTTTGGCCCTATCTTGAGGCAGTGGCTGGCTGAGCCAAGCTGCCTGCCTGCATGCTTTATGTACGCATGAAGGTTTATTGTTTCGGGTGCATGATGAGCATAACCGTCTTCGTGTGGCACGTGTGCCTAATTATGAACCCATTCGTTCCAAAACTTTGGGAGAGTGTGATGACAACAGCAATCACTTTTGGTTCTTTGCTGAAACAATTCTTTTGTCTAGGTATGACGAACGATGTACGTATCTTTGTGGGAAGTGGACAGATTTGCTAGGGCTGTGAAACCTACCGGCAGCAGCAACTTGGTCTGTTAAAACCCTTACCTATTCATAATGCCCCTGGTCAGCCCATCTCCATTGATTTTACTGATGTGGGCATGGTGAGTAAGAAGGGTTTTTCTCAGGGCATGGCTTGTTTTTATCGCTTCTCCAAATATCTGACATTGATCCCTTCACCTCCTCAAGCACGTATGAATCAGTCATCACAGAATTTCACAATCATACATCCTCACATGCCTCGCCCGTCATCATTAGTGATTAGGATATGGGACTTGTCAACACCCAATGAAAATCTTCCACCACTGACTTGTAGAACGCAAATTCACCATGACCTCAGGTCGACATCTGGAAAATCCTGAGGAAACAAACCATATAATCACCCAACTTCGGTCATTGATTGTGTTTTATCCGAACAGGTGGTACGCAGAGTTAGCAACTGTGAATGGTCTATACAAGAACTCTATCCATTCCGCAACAGGAGTGACTCCCAATGAACTGCAGGTTGTTTTGCGGATCTACAGTCACATTGATTTCCTGTTGCCTGACCAACTCGCTGGACTAACCCCTGGTATGCTTGGCTATGGGGTTAGTACCAAAAGCTGCTTGTTAGCACAATCGAAGTCAAGTTGTCAACCACACAAACAAATAATGCAGTCCTATTACCTGTAAGGAAGGAGACTGTG